GACAGGCTGCTGTTTCTTCCACATCATCTTGAACATTAAAGCGAGCCGTTAGTTCTGATTAGCAGCAATCTGATAAGATCACTCATAAAGTTCCTGTCCTGCCTAGGAATTCTGGAAGTTTTTATCCCAGCACCAGGGGGTAGAAAGTTGGTCAAGAACAACCTTCAATTCCCAATCTGATGAAGTGAACTGGAGCTCATGAAAGCTTATACCTCATAATAAAATGTCTTAGTCTGAGAAGCAGCTATCAGAGTCCTTTCACTTACAGAAATTTAAAAAGGAGGGCCGTGGGAACAATTCAGGGGCATATCAGAAAGCACTCCTTCAAAACCACTGATAGTATATACAGACATGTTTGGACCGTGAGGAGACCCCCAAAGCACTCACACTGAGCTTCAAGGCAATGTAGTCCTTCAATGCTTTCAATGCTGGGTCCAGAAATAACTTTTATGTGCCACTGAAACACTTTTCCAAGTACTGTGCACAGCCCTAGTCAAAGCTGGAGGCAGCAATCTTATCTAGGAACTCACAATTAACGTGTCCACTACTGGTCCTGTTCTAACGATATCACTTCTGACTGGCTCCTGAGAAATCACTGAGGACACCCTAAAAGCCAACCAAAAGAACCTAGATTTTTAAAAAAATTAATTTGGATGTAAATATTAAGTGTTTCATTTCTAAGCATCTTGCATAACTTTACATCTGAATAGTGACATGAATAGTTAAACCTACAGCAATAATTCTCAAAAATAAATGAATGACCTTCTCCCTAACACATTAGCTAATGTGCTTGCATGACTGTCTAAATTATTATTCAGTTACAATTTAAAGCTGTTTGCTTCAGATTTTTTTCCAAAATGTATTAATATAGGATAAAAGAACCCACCCCTTTAGAGACTTTGTGGTTTAGTGTGTTATTATAACCCACTCTCTGAGCCAATGGTACTTTAGTCCTGCAATAAATTCAATGCAGTAAAGTTACTTGGTTCATAGGAAACTTATCTATCAGTCTAGACATCAATATGGATTTAAACCCTGCCTTTAAAAATCCATAAAGAAACTACAAACTCTTTAAAAAAAAATTTTTAAAGTGGGGGAAAGCATCTTTTGAAGAGTAATTCCCCCTGCATCTTGCACTGACCGTCCAACACAGGTCATATTTGCCTTGGCCTACGCCTAGACAAAAAAAAAAAATGGATTTTTTTTTCACAGGGGACTGACTTATTAAAGACTGGATTCTTTGCTTGTTTCCTCCTGTTTCTAAACATAAGTGGAAGTAACCAATTCTGCTTTTGGCAAAGCTCAGTCCAAGGAACATTTTTATTACTGGAGTTTATTTCAAAACATATTATAATCAACCAAGTCTCTCTGAGCATCGTTGCACATTCCTTCATACTAACTAACTATAATTAGGCTAGACTTGGGAGAACAATTATATACACTTCCGGGGTCCTTATATTCTCAAAATATCTAAATGGTACAAAAGAAAAATCATGGCAACATGAAACTTGTACTGATAGCTCTCCAATAGATGTTTCCTTCCTTCATAAAAAGCAACAGGTCTTATAACCGAAATGTGTTCTCTTTTTTAGCCACTCACAGCTAGGACTTTATTGTTATTGTTTCCATTGTTTCCTAGCTTTGGATCAGTATTACTTGCTAACCATGCACACCAGTATAAGTGCTTCCAAAGTCTTACAATGAAGGGGTTTTGTAATCCTTTCCACTCACTCTTTTTCTTTTGATGTTTTGTAGGTGTCAAAAATGGTCTCTGCTTCTCCATGATATTGCATAGACTTACAGGCCTATTACTTTAAACAGTGCGTGCCATATTTCAATAGTTTAGTGGTCCTGATGGGAGGTTTATCTGGACACAGAATGATTGTCGTGGTGGGCTTTGCCAGCTGGAAGATAACAATCTAGTGAGGTTGTCAGAGAAGATGGCAGCATCTAATTGCACTTGGCTGAACTTGAAAAAGCTAAGTAGGGTTGTAGAATCATAGGGTGGAAAGAACTGGGGAGGTCTTCTTGTTCAACCACCCACCCAGGCCAGGAACCCTCAGACCATTCCAGCAAAAGGTTGTCCAACCGTCATTTGAAAACCTCCAGTGATGGAGCACCCACAGTTCCAGAAGGAAAGCTGTTCCACTGCCATTTTTTAGTAGTGGGGAGGAATGACTTTGAGTCATTCTTGATTTCTGGAGACTGCCTGGACAAGTCCCTGCAGTTTTCTTGGCAATGTTTTTGGAAGTGGTTTGCCATGGCCATCTTCCTAGGGCTGACAGAGAGGGACTGGCCAAGATCACCCAACTGGCTTTGTGCCTAAGACAGGACTAGAACTCATGTTCTCCCCATTCTAGCCTATTGCCTTTAACTATTACAGCTACTGTACATGATTAGTATTTGGAAGGGAGACCATGAGAAAATCCTAAGGCTGTAGGCTATACTAGAAAGTTAAAAAAAAATCCAGGAGAAAGACAATGGTAACCACTTACATATTGGTGCCAAAATAATCCCAGCATGGACAAATGCATAAAGTTGAGCTCAGTTCAGATGAGACTTTTCAAACTAGTGAGATTCCTTTCCAAGCTTTTTAGTTCCCAGGAAATTCTCTACTGTACACCACTAGATTGCACACGCTGTTTTCCTAGCCAACAGACGTAGCACAGGACCCTACAGGTGTCCTTGGGAAAAAAAATAACTCGGGCATCTGGAATCTTCTTTATAGCAGGAGCCTAGCAGGTGGTGGCACGTTTATACCTGTGAGCATCAGAGTGAATCCGCCGGGCTTAGCCCCATGGATCACTCTGTCGATGTCTACTGGTCTTCTACAGCCTTAGCTCTTGGGGTGGGGGTGGGAGAGAAGCGGAAGTCGATATGCCAAGGCCAGTGAGCTGAACTCATCAATATCAATCATTCCGGGAAATTCTGATTGTTCTATATTTTGGTTATATGCTGATTTGCTTCTTTCAATATTTTAAAATCATAAATAGCTTTAAGCACCTAGGACATACTTTTTAAGCTATGCAACATGTCTCTAAGTCAGAACATGCTGTCAGGGATGTTAAATTTCTGCCCTGTTCAACCCCCCCCCCCCCCCCGCCGTTTTGCTCTTTGAACTTGACCATTGGCCTGGTTCAGACCAGATGCCTCCCTGAACTCCCGATTCCAATCTTGTTACTACTTGGGATGCTAACTCCCAGTGCACAGGACGAGATTTTAATTTGTGACCGGCTTCACTTCAGCACAATCCTGGAATGCAATCATGCAAGATGAATTCCACAGCAATTGCTCAGCGCATAAATATTACAGGCAGAGGCCCTCTCCCTAACGTTTAACAAAATGATTTTTTTCCTCCAACGAGTTCTAATTTTTCTTATAATAATAGGATATTTTCTGATCCTCCGACACTTCCACCCAAACAACCAGAGCATTGTTTCTAATTAAAAAGATTTTGTATATGAGGAGGAAAACAATAACCCACAATGAAGCAAGTTAACACAGCAACCACTGCGTATCAATAGACACTTCTTCCAAAATGACAGATGGAGCCAACTGAATGAAAAAAGACTTTCCATGCACCTTGCATATACCACAAAAGAGATCCAACTTCAATTATAAAAAAAATAATTTTCTGCTGTAAACAGAGAGAGCAACATAAGTGGCCCACAGAAGCAAATTCCCTAACCCAGTGTTGTCCACACTTGGCCCCTTTAAGATGAGTGGACTTCAACTCCCAGAATTCCCCAGCCAGCA